GACTGTTGTGCTTCTGATTTTGCAACCATAAGTTCAGGCTGTACAAGCGTATGTTGCTCCCGTGTACTTGGTACTATATGTCCTTCATCCTCTTCGATGGCCTGTACATTGGCAGTTTCGTTTGCACCTGCAGTCGCGCTTTCGTTCTTCATGTCCAGAGAGACTTCATGCTCATCTTTCTCAGCTGGCATATCTAATGGCATCTCTAATTCTGCAAGTGCACCAKTATTATCCACTTGCGCAGTAACACTCTCGCTCGCCAACACAGTGGTCGCCCAAACTTGGTCATCCGGAAGGACGTCCTCGACACATTTCGACAGTTCTCCATGACTTACGCCCTTGACGCTTGCACCGCCGCTTCCTCCCAAATCCTGACCACTTGCATCGCCTCTCGATCCCCTGCCATGTGCACCGCCGCTTGGTCAAAATCTCAGAGGCGAACCCGATCCCCTGCAATGTGCACCGCTGCTTGGTCCTAATCCCAGAGGCGAACCCGATCCCTTGTCATGTGCACCGCCGCTTGGTCCTGCTACCTTTCCCTCTGTTGCTTGACGCCCTTGACACATTTCGTGTTTTTGTAGTTCACCATGACTTATTGGCTTTCCACTTGCACCGACGCTCGGTCCCAGGCCCTTGCCATTGGCACTGCCCCGTGGTTCCGATCCCTTGCTATGTTCACCACTTGATCTTGTTCCCTTGCCAAACGCACCGCCGCCTGATCCTGATTCCTTGCCACTCTCATCGCCGCTCGCTCCTTTCCTTTCCTCAACTTTGTCTTCAAGTTCCTCTTCGATACGCCAATTATATCCAAAAGCTGGACTTGTTTCTCGATTATAGAACTCTTCCAGATACTCGAGCCATCGAGATGTTTTGAACTCCTGAAAAATTTCGTCTGTCCTTGCATCCAGTCTTGATTGAAAAACCTTCGGATTAAGTCGCAGTAGTCGCTTGCCAATCTTATTTTTGGTGTGTGTGACAAACCTGGATCGTGACATATGTCTGTGGAGGCAAAATTGTCACTCCCCTTCTTCTTTTATAGCCATTACCCAGTTCCCTCTCGCCAATGCAGGTTGGAAGTGGTGGGGGTGCCATATAATGTGATCACCCCATACGTTGTCAGGCATCACCGTATAATCGTCTCGGCAAACAACAGGTCCAGGAAGCCATGCAATGTCCGGAGGGATGATGTCTTCAATCTCGTACTCCAAAGGCTCAGACGGAGGTGGTTGAGGAGTTTGAGAGCGTAGCAATTCCAAAAACAGTAGTCAGGCTATGTGGAAGTGTTGATAGACTTGCCATAACCTCTGGAGAGAATTGTCTGCAACCTCGGATCATCCTGAATTGCGCCGGAAGATAGCGTTGTTGTGTTGCCCGCCATATAACTGGTCCGTTGAAACTGATCCGTTGTAACTGCCATACTCGAAGCCCCCCCAGAACCGGACGATGTGCGCGGCGCACCCATCTTTTGCGAAGCCGAGCTACAAGTTTTTTGCCTCTCATCTGCCAAAGCCGCTTGCAAAGTACCATCTTCACTTTCTTCTTCTAAGTCCTCAGCATCGAAGCCTTCCCCAAAACAAGTTGCATAAGCTGCGATTGTAAATGCCCCGATTTGTTCGTCGAAGTACATCATCTCCAAACGGTCTAGAAATGCAACTTCCGTCTCCGCCGGTGCCTTATGATACCCCCTCAGAAGTGATTCCATTCTGACGACAAATGCACGTTCCCCTCTGTTTTATGGCTTAGTCTCGAAAAGGAACTCCCAAATGTTGACGATGTTTTGGCCGACTTTGTAGACGAGATCACGCTTTTCATCATGTCGAGGAGGCGGCTTAACAAAGTTGGCGAATTGAAGTCCACTCTTGACCATCTTGGTGACGAATTGAACAAAAAACTCGAACTTCATACCCTCCCCTTCCAGAACAATGCAATGACGGTGACTCTTTAACAACTCCCAAATCAACGCCGCATGGCCTTTTCCCAGGAAAACAACCGCCTCATCTGCAGGACAAAAATGCTCCAATGTCTCCACCATCGCATTCGGCTCCCTTTCCATACCTTCGTACACCGGTTTCTCTTTTGGCTCCATATCTGCCATTTTCAACTTCGTGGGCGTGAAGTTCTTCTCCACGACATCAACCAACATCTTTGGCCTTCTCTCTCTGCGCACAAGTGCTGATAAGCAGGGTTGTCACGCGGGGATCCTCGGGGCCCAGGCCGGGGT